CCCCGTGTGCATCAAACCCTCATGACACCCAGCTCCTTGGCACCCCTCAGCCTGCAGAACCCTTTCCTAAGCCCAGGCAGTTACACACTCAGTTCCCCCTGCCTGGAATGTCCTCCCTCCTCTTTCCCAATGAAAGCATCTTGCTAATCCTTCAACACCCAGCTCAGACAACCGCCTTCTAGGAAGTCCCCCCAGCTCCTTCCTCATGGGTTTCCCCAAGGACTTGGGCTTCCCCCAGTACAGGAATGTGTCACCTTCAGGTGTTCAGCCTCTGACCTTGCCCCATGATGCAGGGGTCTGAGGATTTTGGGCCACCACCCCTGACAGTACCTTTCAGAGGAGAATGACCACTGAACTTAGAGAGGCTGAGGTTGGGGACCCCTGGGCAGAAGTGAGGGGTGTGGAGTTCCTAGGTCCTGGCCAACCCTGAGGTCCTGAGATGGGTGAGGATGTGGCAGCCCCCAGGGGAGGATGACTCTCCGGGTGGAACAAGATTAGGTTCCAGACTCCTTAGCCAGCCAGGAGCCTGTGCCTGCCCCGGAGGCCTCCTGCCTCCTCTGCCCAGAGAGCCCTTGAAGGCCCTGCAGGAGCTCTAGTCGTCGTCTGTGTCCATCAGCTCTTGGTGAGCACCTGGCTGGAGGCCTAGGGCAGCTTGGCTGGCTGCACACCAGTCATGGTCCCTGGGGGCTGCAGCCAAGATGGAGGAGGTTTGGGCAGCTCTGCTGGACACCCAGGGCCATTCTCCAGGCCACACAAGGTAGTGTCAGGCTACGTAGGAGAGTTGGTGCCGGCAGCACACACACTTGGGCAAAGAAGAGGCTTTCTGGTGTGAGAGAAGTTCTGGAGACACTGGGAAAGATAAAGCTGCATCAGCTTCTTGACTGCAGGGCTTCCAGCCTTCGCAGTGTCACATGTGGGTCTCTGGGTGAGTGCGGGAACTGCCACATGAGCCACACACTGCAGGTCCCATGTTCCCCTCAGCAAATAGAATGAGGGAGCAGTGGCAGCTGATGGCTGCTGAAGGTGTCCTGGGTGCCAGCCCTGCAGAGGGACCCGGGTGTCCCGAGATGGGTGTGTTCCTGGTGTGGCCGTGTTCAGCTTTGTAGTGCTGGACAAATCACTTGGCGTCTCATAGCCTCAATCTCCTCTTCCTTAAAGTGCAGATTCATGCAGTCAGCAGATATTTGCTAGTGTCTGCCATAGACTCAGCTGGCACTGTCATGGGCTCTGAGGGCACAGCAGGGACCAGAACACCTTCATGCAGTCCTTGACCTGGGAGCTCAGAAAGCCACACCCTGGCAGCTCAGTCTCTACCACTCCTTCTGTCTCCCCAGGTGCACCCGCCACCTCGGCCCCTGTTAACCCCTTCCAGGTGAACCAGCCCCAGCCGCTGACGCTGAACCAGCTTCGAGGGAGCCCAGTCCTGGGGACCAGCACATCCTTTGGGCCTGGCCCAGGAGTGGAGTCCATGGCTGTGGCCTCGATGACCTCCACGGCTCCACACCCAGCTCTGGGGTCCAGTGGTTCCTCTCTGACCCCACTGGGCCCTGCAACAATGAACATGGTGGGCAGCGTGGGTATCCCCCCATCGGCAGCCCAGGCCACTGGCACAACAAACCCTTTCCTTCTCTAGTGCCTGGGCCTAGGACCTGCCCCAGAGGGAATACCCAGAGCACCTGTGCTGGAGGATGCTGAGCAGGGACTCTGGTCTGTGGGATGGGATCCAAGAGTTTGGGGATTAGGGGTATTAGGGCTTTTCAGCTCCAGCTTCCTGATGAAAGGGCTGTCTTTACAGCCCCAACCCTCAGACCCTCGCCTTCCAAGGCAGGCCCACTTGGCTTGGCCTGCTCTTGCCACCTCCTCCCGGGCACTCAGGTCCTAGCAGGGCTCCTCTGAGGCCTTAGATGAGGAGGTGGAGTCATCAGTGTTGCCCTTTCCCCCATCCTCAGCCCAAGGGTCTCTAGGACGTTGCCTGGCCCTGGACGTGGGACGGTGGCCTCGTCTTTGTTCTCCCCCCGCCAGTCTTAGGGATACCCCAGGCAGTCCTGGGTGTGGACATGATGAGGCACCGGCTCCACAGACACTGACCTTTTGGGGAAGTGGTTGTGCATATTTTATTTTTCTTTGACTCGTGTGAGTTCAAGGTAAACACCACCACCGTGGACAACTCTTAAATTAAATCCACTAGAGTGAGCTTTAAAGCTAATCTGAGCATAACCCCCAGCGCGGCTCTATGCTTGTGTACCTTTGCACATATTTTGTTTAGTACAGTTTCATATTTGAGTTTGCAGAATTATCTAATAGTCTTTTTTTGGCTAATATTTTTATAACGTGGTTCTTATTTAACTGTCTAGTTTTGATAGAATTTACCAGGTCTGGCTGAATGAAGATATCGGCACATGCCATGTTAGTGGTTTAAATCCTCTTATTTATGGTTTTCACTCTAAGAAAATTTTAAAAGGAAGAGATGTTTGGATGACAAAAAAAAAATGCCTTATGAAAAAACTAAAGCAAATTCTTTATAGGAAAAAAATATGGGAATTTGATTACACATAGATGATGATGTTTATTTAAAAAAAAAAAAAAAAACTACAACAGCAACAAAAAAATCCTAGCCTCCAGTTGCCTTTTCCTTTCTTTAACTCGTTTTTGGTGAATTACTAAAGGGATTGACTTTCAGCCTTTTTGGCTAGATCCTGAGAGAGAGGCTATTTTTCTTACTGATATACCAACATCCTGAAAGTTAAAGAAAAAATACAGTGTATGAATGTGACTCACCAATTTTTATCAACTAATTCCTTTTTTTAATTAAAGGCATGCAGGGATTAACAAGGACTTGTGTTTACAATGGGAATCTGAAATGGAAGAAACATCTTTAACCTTGTGTGTCTGTGATCTCCTCTGTCTTAATCCACGCTCAGGCTAAAGATGGGAATAATGTGGAAATGGCAGTTGTCCCAAGGGCATGTGTGGTGCTCTGTGCCCATGGGTCCCTGGGCAGCAGTCCCCAGGCTAAGATGGGGGTTGGGGAGATAAGGGACCAGGGCTGGCCCTGATCCACCTACCTGCTAACTCCAGACATTATTTTTAAGTTTTGCAGACCTAAAAATAATTCTCTTGTATTTTGGAGATGAAGAAAAAAGTCATTCACCTGGGACAGATTTTTAACAAACATGCACTAATAGTACCTCCCTCTCCCAAACTCCTGCTGTCCTCATGTCACCTACTACTGTATAAGTATTGAGTCATGCATTAAAGACCAGAAAAGACTTGCTTTTACCCAGGGAAGGGACATTTCCCCACTCCTGTGTCTGGGCAGGTTGCCTGGTGGATGTTTCTGGCCCGCTTTCCACCATGGGGACTTCTCACCTCCAGCTCTAAGGGCAGCTGACCACCTGCCAGCCCCTCTCTGGTCCCAGAAGATCTAACCCTTTGCACTGGCACAGGAGAGATCTTCACTGGTCTCTGGGCTGCCGGGACATGCAGACTCTGAGTGAGGACTGCACCCTCCTGTGCTGCTGCTCCTGAGGTCACCCTCTCCAGCCCCAGGAGCCGTGTCTAGAGCTCCTGACCAGCTACCCTCTGCCAGAACCGCAGGCCTGGGGCTGGGCCTTAGGCTTCTGCTGTCGTTTGGGAAGGCTGGTGGCTGGTTGCATCTGCCAGGGGAAGGGTAGGGAGGTGCAATGGGATGGGAGGCAGGATGCTTGCCCAGAAAGGTGCTTTCCTTCAGACGGTGCAGGGCCTGGGCCAGCCTTACAGGTCAGTAGACCAGACTCGACTACTTGGGGTCAGTGATTCTTTTGTAACAGAAGAGCCCTTCGTGACTCGACTTTGAGGCCCCAACATGACAGCCACTGGGCCACCAGGACCCAAGAAGACAGCCCCCCGCCCCATCTTCTGGCACAGGCCATCCCGAGTGCATGTCCCTGTTGCCCACTGCACTGATCATGAAGCCACCGGCCACTGCCACGTGTGCTGCAGCTGTGCCGTCGTGCTTCCTCCTGATGGGCACAGCGGTGGAAGATGTCACCCAGCTGTTCCTCAGTCCCAGAGGCCGGTGGCTGGTTTTGAACTTGTGTTGACTGTTGATACTTATTTACTGTATAAATATAATTTATCATTTGTATCATGATGCAGTTTCTGGCTGTGTCCTTCTTCCACCCCACCGGAGAGGGGTGGGAGACGAGGGAGCCGATTCCTGTGGAGCTTGATCTGCAGTTAATGAGGCCACCAACCTAGTCCTAGTGCCCATGTGAGCTGGGCATTCAGTTGCCCCTGAACCTCAGGGTAAAGGGGGTGGGAGGTAGCCCTTGGTGAGGTGCTCGGACCGGTGGCTTGGGGGAAGTGCTAGCCACTGCCCTTTACCCTTCCACGTCTACTCTCTTGCCGTGGCCTTGTCACTGGTGGAGCCTGCTTTGGATGAGGTGTGACAGTGTGCAGGGTCCCCAGAGGCGTTCTGTGATCTGCCTTTGTCCGTGCTGCTGAAGAGCTGCTCTGGGAAGCTGCCACTGTCGTGGCCACGGAGGGAGGGAGTGTGCAGAGCTGCCCAGTCAACTGCGTGTTCGGGAGAGGAAGTGCCTTTTGGAGCCACTGGTTCTTGGGTGGCTTGCTGTGCAAAGCTGACCGACACAAAGGGCCTGTGCCTAAGTCGCCGACCAGAGGAGGGCAGCGGCTGGAGGACACGTGCAGGAGAGGTAGAGGTGGCGCTCGGGTCATGGGAGGAGGCCAGGCCGAGGCAGGGGCTGCTGGGAGACGCTGGTGGAAAGGGTTGGAGGTCCTGAGGCAAGCCTGGAGGAAGGCCTGGGGCTGCCCTGCAGCCCTCTGCTCTCTGCCAGTGCCTGCCTCCCAGTGTACCCAAGGACAAGCGGAGAAGCTTGACTCTCAGCCAGGAGACTAGGGGCTGGTGGCAGGGAGTGCCCATTCAGTGCAGGGGATACGAGCAAAAGAAGGGTGTCTGGGATGCTCTTGGTTACGCGGCAGTAACAAATCTCCAGCGCTCAGCGGCTTCACACGAGTTTGTTTCTCACAGAAGTCTGACTCAGGGACCCAAGCCACTTTCATCTTGAGACACTGCTCTCTCTGACAGCCCTTCAGGTGGCTATGAAGGGACAAATGGACAAGGGTCAAGCATAGAAGATTTCTTACAGCCAGGCCTGGAAGTGCCTCACTGCTTCCCATGCCAGTGCCAGAATTAGATCCTCGGCCCCCATCCAGATGTGGCGGGATGGGCAAGTGCAGGCTTCCTTTGAGGCGGAAGGTGGGAGGTGGGGAAATGGGCTTAGTTAACATTGCCAGTCCCGGTCACAGTGGACTGTCTGGCCCCCAGAGAGTTATTTCAGTCTTTTTCTCATACATAGACCATAAGGTCCTGTGTCCTGGGCTCTGTGGCTTCAAAGCCTTCTCCAGCAAGGCAGACACAGCCTGTAAACTAGAGAGACCTGTGATCTGTGCCTTTCCCCCAACAGTAACAGACAATGGGGCAGGGGTCAGTACCCACAGTCCAGCACCATTTTGAGGAGCAGAGAATGGGAGATGCCCCCACAGTGCTGGAAGCTGCAGCACAGACCAAGGTCTCCTTGCACCGAGGAGGGAAAAGACCTGACGGTGCCCTGCTCTGCCCCTGGTCTTGGGCTGGGGGGGAGATGGGAGGGTGGGGGCGGCTGGCCTTTTTTGTATCCCTTTGGCTGCAGCTCTTGGGCCAAGCTTGGCTTTCTCATCTACTGCCTGTGGGTGGACGGTTCCAGGCTAGGACCTGTTTTTTTTTTCAATTGCATTTTAGGTTATGGGGTACATGTGAAGAACATGCAAGATTGTTGCATAGGTACACACGTGGCAGCGTGATTTGCTGCCTTGCTCCCCTTCACCTATATCTGGCATTTCTCCCCATGCTATCTCTCCCCAACTCCCCACCCTCCGCTGTCCCTCCTCTATTTCCCCCCAACAGACCCCAGTGTGTAGTGCTCCCCACCCTGTGTCCATGTGTTCTCATTGTTCAACACCCGCCTATGAATGAGAACATGCAGTGTTTGATTTTCTGCTCTTGTGTCAGTTTGCTGATAATGATGGTTTCCAGGTTCATAGGACACGAACTCATCATTTTTGATGGCTGCATAATATTTCATGGTGTATATGTGCCACATTTTCCCTGTCCAGTCTATCATCAGTGGGCGTTTGGGTTGGTTCCAGGTCTTTGCTATTGTAAACAGTGCTGCAATGAACATTCGTGTGCATGTGAGGCTAGGACCTGTTTTAAGTGAACTGGTGGCTTCAGTCCAGGCTCGTGGGCCTTGTATAAGCACAGTTTCCTCAAAAACATGACAATCTTAGCACTTCTAATCAGTTCCATGTGCAAGTAACTGCATTATTTTGGCCAGAGTGTTACTTTAGTGGCCCCTGATAGACCCTGTCTCCCGGTGTGGTCTCCCTCACCTGATGGGCGTGGCCGATGACTAGATGGGGCCAGTGGCATGATGGCAGCAGGGGCTTAATAAATGCCTCACATGGGGCTTGACATCTTGGCATGTTCCACTGGTAGCTCACCTGTCGTGCTATGAGAAGTTCAAACACAGAGGCCACATGAGAGAGAACTGAGGTGTTCTGGTCGGTAGGCCCCGATGAGCCCCAGACAACAGCTAGCCATGTGAGTAATCATCCTGGTCAGCTCAGTGGAACAGCCCCAGCCAGCATCCAGTGTAGCACAACCACCCAGCTGAGCCCAGTCCCTGACGAGATCATGAGTGATAAATGATAGTGGTTTTAAACAACAAAGTTTTGGGGTAGTTTGTTAAATAGCAATAGATATCCCAAGCACACACATAAAATTCTTTCCTAGGCCAGGCGGTGGCTCACACCTCTAATCCCAGCACTTTGGGAGGCCCAGGAGATTGAGACCATCCTGGCCTACATGGTAAAATCCCGTCTCTACTAAAAATACAGAAATTAGCTAGGCGTGGTGGCGCGCACCACCTGTAGTCCCAGCTAATCGAGAGGCTGAAGCAGAATTGCTTGAACCTGGGAGGCGAAGGTTGCAGTGAGCCAAGATCATGCCATCGCACTCCAGCCTGGTGACAGAGCGAGACTCCATCTGAAAAAAAAAAAAAAAAATTCTTTCCTAGACATAAGCCGCCTTATATCCTTACCTCCATGCTTCTCTCAACTTAATGGTAGCTATCATGAGGCCATATGGGATTATGATGGGAGAACCACCCCCTTAATTCCATATTTACCAAAAGGCCAAGTTATTTTGTTCAGATGAGAAGTTTTATTATGCATTTATTGTTCAAAGCAATTTTCAGCCTTACCTCTTCTCATCTGAGATCTAGAAAGACTGCTTTTGCAACCTTTTGATAGAAATTTTTTTTTTTTAAGATTCTCTGTTTTCCCGTTCATTTCTGCTTGCAAACTAGCCGGTTCTTTCCTCTTTACTGTGCTGGCGTTCCAAAATGCAGTCAAGATAGCGAGCTCACACTGCATGTACATCCTATCTGGCGTGTCCCTTTCCCCTAGAGCTGCTGGCTCTGTGGACGCACAACCTGCGTCCCAAGTTAGCACAAGAGTCTTACAGATGTCTTGTACTTGCATAATACGATGTCCTGCTGCCCAGCCTGTGAGCTGTATTCATTCTGCCTGCCACCCAGCTGCTTAGCCAATGACACTGTTTGTTTTTTGTTTTTTGGGTTTTTTTTGGCTACAGCAGAGACCCACTCCTGATTTCCATATCATTTGCAATAGAATAGGCTGTGCAGGATCAAATAACCCAAGCTCTGGTTGGCTGGGCACAGTATCTTTTGAGTATTTCCCACTCATAAAAAGCCTGATGGAGATACTCCTGGAGGTGCTCTGCAAACTGGGGTGCCAAGACCCAGGCTCCTTCCTTATGATGCTGCTATCTTCAACGTGTGCCTCAAAGAGGGCCATGCCCCAGAACGAGGAGAACTGCTCCTGTGACACTGAAGTGGGTCCGCCTGCTCAGTGATGAACACCCTTTTCATACTTTGCTTTGGCTAGAACTACTGACACAGACCCACCTCGATACAAGGGGCCTGGGAAATGTAGTCTTCTGGTGTGCCAGGAGAAAAGGGAGATCATCTGGTGAACATGCGACTTTGTGACAGTGGCCAACAGCATGGACAGCAAGTGAGCGTGGACCTGGGCCCTGTATACCTCACCTGTCCTCATGGAGGGGATCCCACATGCCCAACACCCCCCACCCAGCTTCTCCGGCACTCACACCTTCAGCCTTTAAATCTCACTGCATCATCTCATCTTGACTGGGCAGGGATGCTTTGTGAGGTGACAGTGACGCTTGTTCCGTGCCTTTGGGGCCAGGTTGTGCATTTTTTTTCCAACTTCTGCCTCCCGGGTTCAAGCGATTCTCTTGCTTCAGCATCCCAAGTAGCTGGGATTACAGGTGCCTGCCATCGCGCCAATTTTTTGTATTTTTAGTAGAGATGGGGTTTCACCATGTTGGCCAGGCTGGTCTTGAACTCCTGACCTCAGGTGATCCGCCCTCCTTGGCCTCGCAAAGTGCTGGGATTACAGGCATGAGCCACCGCATCCCGCTGGGTTGTGAATTCTTAAAGCATTCTAGGCCAGGCATGGTGGCTCAAACCTATAATCTCAGCACTTTGGGACGCTGAGGCACACGGACCACCTGAGGTCAGGAGTACAAGACCAGCCTGGCCAACGTGGTGAAACCCCGTCTGTACTAAAAATAGAAAAATTGGCCGGGCATGGTGGCAGGTGCCTGTAATTCCAGCTACTTGGAGGCTGAGGCAGGAGAATCGCTTGAACCCGGGAGGCAGAGGTTGCAGTGAGCCAAGATCTTGCCACTGCACTCCAGTGTGGGGGACAGAGTAAGACTCTGTCTCAAAAAAAAAAAAAAAAAAAAGTTACGCATTTTGTTGTATGTAAATGTCCCCACAAAAGAACACACTAAAGTCTGGATTCTGGTTAATGGTGAGTGTGCTGAAACACACGAAGGCGGTGTCCTGATGCCGCAGTTTATTTTGAAATGCACTAAAAGTAGGATGGATTGAAGCAGAGATGAATAGTTGATAGATGTAAAAATGCAAGTATGCAACAGGAAAGCGGTAATGGTAGAATCTAGGTGGTGGGTATGTGGGGCTCACTGTAAAATGAAGTCAACTTTTCCATGTTTAAACCTTTGAGTGATGTTGAGAAAAATTGGAAAAATTAAACATAACCAGAAGAGGGTGATTGAGTATGTGGCAACTGCTGACAGGCTGGATGAAAGGGGCCTGAGGCTCGAACATGCACGCCACAGGCTAGAGGCTTCAGGGAAGACACTTCAGGTCTCCTTGATGTGGACCGAGGCCAGTGGTCTGGGTGGGGTGAGGCCATGGACAGAGAAGACAGCCCCTCAGGGAGCTGTGATAAAATGGGGCAGAGGACAGGAGCAGCCTGGGGTTGCAGGGCTGTTGCTCTGTCCTCCCATGACACGTGTGGGGCATGCGTGGAGGCTGATGCGAAGGAGCCTGTGCAGGAAAGCTCATGATGGAGGGACAAGGAAGAAGCCCCTTGTGGGTGGGGGGCCTGGGAGAAGCCAGAGACACCGCGTCTCCCACACTGCCAAGGCGCGTCGTCAGGTCGGCTCAGGGTGGCAGCTGGTGTGGGGTGGCTGTGGGAATGGAGGGAGTGCCTCAGCTAAGCTGGCAGGGAGGGTGCTGGAGGTCTGAAGAGACAAAAGTTGTGTTTCCTCAGAGAACTATTGAGGGAGTTGTCCAGGGAAACACAGACCTGGGCTGTGGATGGAACATGCCGTGGCTCTGGGGATCAGGCAGGTGCAGGGCAGGCGGACGGACAGCTGGCTGTTACCAGGGCTGAGGCTCTGCCAGGTGAGCATGAAGGCAGGAGGGCACTACCAGGAAGTGCATGCAGGTGACCAGGAATTCTAAACTGGGTTGGGAGGAAAACAAGGAAAGAGGGGCTGGGCCAGGGGCTTGGACAGCCTGGTGGTTTGAAGGGCCCAGGGAAGCGCCACGTGAGGGAGAGCCTGGCCTGAGTGAGGGACACCTCAATCTAGCCCTCGGAGGCAGTGCGGTCACCAGTAACAAGAAACACGCGTGGCTGTTGGGGGAGTGGAGAAGAGGGTTGCGAGTGAGGCGGCAAGGACACACCCGGTCTCAGTCCACCGCACGTGGGGGGCTGCAGGCGACTGAGTGGGCTTCAGCAAGGCCAGAGCTAGAGGGAACTTCCTATTCAGAGAAGGCAGTTGGAATCCGGAAGTTTGCTGACAACAGACCATGAGTTCCAGAACGCACAGTGAGTTGCAGGGAGGGCAGGGGAGTGCCCGTGAGATAAAGGGCAGAAGACAGTCGGCTCAGGTGGTCTCAGGGCAAGTGCCCATAACAGCCTAGGATAACATGGGCGAGCCTGTGGTTTCTTCTGGGTCCCACTGAGGGCAGTATCTAGGCTGGGGCACCATGTCTGCCGAGGAAAGCTCAGTGGCAGGGCAGAGAGGGCCCGGGGCTGCCTTGTGAGGTTCCAGAGGTTTGCGTGACGGTGGGGAGGCCCAGGCCCAGGGCCCCCTGAAGTAATGCTGAAGGGACTCTGCTTCCAGAGGGGCCCAGATCACCTCAGAGGCCAGGGTGTTAAGCCAGGGAGCTCACCTTCCTCTCTTGCCAAGGGGCTGCCAGAAAGCTGGACTCCAGCTGGCAGCCCCGCACCCCTGGTAGGTTTCCAGCCCCAACCCTGGGACTGCGGGTAGTGGGGACAGAGAGTGGAGTGGGCAGGCTGAGGGTCTGCCATCCCGAGGGTACCTCACCATCCAGCTCCCAATAGTAGGGTTCTCTCCTCCTTGCCAATAGAGGCTCGTGGCTGAGAGCATGGCTGAGCAGGTGATTCTGCTTAAACCCCAAGCCTCCAAGGAGGGTGCCATGCCCAGTTCAAGGATGAATGTGTTGAGGTGTAGAAAAGGCCACACAGCTGTGAGTGTCAGAGGCTGGTGATGTCAGAGCTCCCATCCCAGATGGCCACGGTCTGGTCTCCAGACAGCTTTGACGGCACAAGGGGTAGGGATGGGGAGAGCCCTGAAGGTGGGGCCAGGGAAGGCCCAAGAGCCCCCAGCTCCTGTGGGGGAGGGGCTAAACAGGAGAGAAGGCAGCCCCAGGCCTGGGCTTTCTGAAAATGTGACTTTATTGTAGAAAACTGTTCTGTGTGCCCCAGCTCCCGCCACCAGGCTGCCCTTTAGACCGATGGCCAGCAGCTGACTCCAGGAAGGCAGCCCTTCATTATCAGAGACTGTGCACCTGTGGTGCCTTCACTGGGGGAAGCCCTGGGGCAGGCTGGGACCTGAGACGCCCTGTGTGTCTGCAGGCCCAGTGTCGTAGCCCAGCTTCCTCATGTCCTTGGTCACTACGTTGAAGAGGAGGGTGACAAAACCCTGAGAGCGGACACGGGTCACTGGGGACAGAAGGGCAGCATCAGCCAGGCTGGGTTGGGGCAGAGACAAACCCAGGTTGATCTGGGAATCTCTCAGCCTCAGCGTCTGTAAAATGGGGACAACAGCGCCTGACCCATGCCACTCACTGGGAGGGAAAGAGGCTGCCGCTGGGACAGGCAGACATGACAGACCCTCTGTGTTCCAGCAGCCCTCATCTGGGAACATTCGTGGGCCAGCTCCCAGGTGCCTGGCAGGTCCTTGGCATTCACCCCCAAGCCTGGGCCCACCCACTCCCAGGCTCTAACCTGTCTGGGGGCTGGGGGTAAGGGAGGGGAGGGAGCTTTACCTTCCCGGCCTTCACCCTGAGCCACCACCTTGGGGTCTGTGTACTCGGGTCGCCGCCCCATGAACCAGCTGGGAACACAGAAGAACATGGGTGAGCAGGACCCCACCCGGGCACTCCTGGCCATG